TGTCTAGGTTTACTACACTTATTGCACATGCACTTATTACGTAAATATTTCTCTGAATTTTAGTTAATTTTACTTCCTTAAATTAAAACTGTCAATTCCACATCACATTTGGTGTTGTAATTTAAAAAGAATCTCAATTCAATTCGAAATTCTATACAGGCACTGTTTGTCCTTAGCATCAGTTATTATATTTTGTGTCATTTCTGTTGTGAAAACCGACACTTGGAACGTTTTCACAGGTGACATTATTCCCAAACACACCTTAGCCCTGGAGACAAGCGAAATGTGTGGCATTGTGAACAACAATGCTCTTCAGGAGCTCACCTAAACTCTTTTGTTCGGTCCACAATGGTTGTGGTTCCCACCCTTTTCTTGTACACAGCAAGGAGAGAATAACAAAAACCCTGCGAGAAAATATGAGTATCCTGAATCGCACTCCTAATCAGGCCACTGTATGAAAACGCTCACGGACGCTGCCAGCGCCACCCCTCGAACTTCGAAAATAACGGAGAAGAGAGAAAGAGAGGTCTGAGTGGGCAAAGAATCAATAGGAAGAGGGGGGGAATATCTGATGAAATGTTTTCTTGTCAATGCTCAACCTCATCACCCCTCCCTTCCCTGGTTTGACCTTCCTCTGTGAGCACATCCAGCCACAAAGAGGCTCCATTCTCTCGGGAGATAGAGCGCCTTGCTCTTGTGCTGAAACTCTATCACCTGCCTAAAAGAAAACTGTGTCATCTCCCCTAGCCCAGCAGGAAGTCTCCAGCCAAGCAGATCACACACCCTGTAATATTCGCAGTGACCTTCAGCGTGCCACCAAACTTTCTCACAGTCTGCCATGTTTCATGACACTACACTTTGGATGTAGTTATGGATTACACTGAGCACAGGGTAGTGACTTGGCACTCTGAAAAGAAAGCCATCTTCAAAGGAAGAGAGTGGCAAGGTTTGCTGGTTTGCCAGTGTAAACATACAGTACAACGTTCTATTATACGGCTCACTGGAGTACTTGATTCTGATTGGCCAATCAAGCCATTTGATGTCACTATATTTGCCGTCTTCTGGATCAACACTGTATAATGTATTATGATATATGATACACATACACTAAAAAAATATGATCAATAAGTTATGACAACATATGTTTTTATGCTTTAACTCATCAAAATAAGTTATAAGTTATATAAGATTCAACTCATTTTTTAAAGTCAGTTTAATGTAATTTAAGTTGAAATGACTTAAACATCCGAATAGAGTACTTAAAACATTTAAGGAAGCAACTTTTTTTTACATTGTATAATATATGACATATTATAATATATGTAATAATACATAATACTGTAATATTGTGTTAGTCTTGTTGCAATGATTGGTTTATTTTGTACAGTTTTTCCTTAGCAGAAGCCTAAGATAATATGCAAGTAAAATTATAAAATAATTTCAACTTAATTCTTGTCAACATATTTATTTAGGGGTAAAAAATGTTAACTTAAAGATATCATCATACTTTCCCAGTTTATTAACCTCAGTACATTAATCACAGGACATGGACAATTGTTTTGTATTGTGTTATGTTTAAATATGCAAACGAGAATTATCTCATTAAAAATGCACAAATTTGCATACATTTCCAGAAAAGAAAGCTGTGCATTGGAGGTTCAAAATTCTTGTTTCATTTTGTTGACATATTAGAGTAAAAGAAAAATTCAGAAGGGATTTTGGATATCTTTAGCACTGAAAAAAATAGCAATACATTTTTATTTAAATCAGGTGATTGAAATATGAACAAGATAGGAATAAATCTGGAAAGTCTGGTGTATGTAAGAGCTGTTAAAGAGATTTCTGACATGAGAAAAAAAATATTTTGAGAAAGCAACCTTTTAAGGTATGTATTGTAATTAAAATCTACTGTACAGATGCAAATATAAAGTATAAGAAAATAAATACTAAAATGTGTATTTTGGCCTATACTGTGATTATGCATGTTAAAGATTTAGCTAACAACAAGACACAAGATGAAATGACCTACGTGTTTTAAATGAAACCAAAATAAAGCAGATGTTAAACTGATTGATTATCAAAGTAATAGGTCCTATTTAACATTTTCTTCCTCTTTGCTGTTGAGTGAATGGATATTAGATAACAAATAGGCTCAGAATGTCTTTCATAACCTCAAAGACTGTTCTCTGAATCTTGGCCCGTCATGGGTTTGCAGTTAGTGCTTTTGGTTAAACTACAAAGAAACGGTCAGTGAACTGTGCTGTTTGGCTTTGGACCTACAGTTCCTTCCTGTTCATGGAAATTTTGTCTCTGAAATGTGTTTTTGGTACACAAAAACACAGCTCCATATTAATGAAAATGTGTTCCACCTGAGAAAAGGAAGGCTAAACATACAGAGTATTTCAAGATTTTAATTAAATCTACTGCTTTCAATGCAAACACACACCAGTAGGTCTACAGAAAGGGAGTTTGCTAAGTTTAGCAATGACTGAAATAACTTTTTCATCAGTCAGCGTAAACTAGGAAAACATCAAGGTTCAAATGAGATACAAAAACTTAGAGAGTGTCAAAAGTTTGATGTGGGCTGAGGCGTATTGTGGATCAATGGCGACCTCTGCTGGCTATATAAAACTGTTCATTTAATAAAACTGATGGTGGAGGAATAACAATAATACAATGTGAGCCTTGTCACTTTTTACTTTGTATTTTTAATGTCTATTTATGTATAACTTTTTCAATCTTTTGGTTGAGTTGATAGATAGATAGATAGATAGATAGATAGATAGATAGATAGATAGATAGATAGATAGATAGATAGATAGATAGATAGATAGATAGATAGATAGATAGATAGATAGATAGATAGATTTTTAGGCATTTCAAGAACTTTTTTTCACAAACAAAATGTTGAGGGCTTATTAAAATCAAATATAGCAGTTAGTATTTGTAGCATTTGTTATTTTAAAACAACTTTAATATAATTGAATTAATATAACATTTTACACATTTAAAGGGGCTAATATGTCAGAATTTTCATGTATTAATCACTTTGGGGTTGTTGTTTTTTGTTTTTTTTGCCAATGTGTTAACAACTGTAGAAGACTGATTTTATGTGGACTCGGGCCGTGTCCAGACGAGATTAATGATGTATAGTTTGTCAAGTTAATAACATTAAATATGATAGTAACTTTGAACTATTTAAAAAAAACGCTTCAGAGCGCCCGCGCTCTGGTAGAGCTTTAACAGGTTAAATTGACATGAAATTAATGTTCAAAGATAATACCGAAAGAGTCATTCTGTACAGTAATGTCAATGTGTCATGCAAAGAAAAGTCTCACATGGTCAAATCTAGTCTATAGACTCAAATATAGGCTAGCTACTTCCTTTATAATCAAATCAATATCATTGTGCAATTGTAGTTACCTCATCTGTCGACATGATGCTGGTGAGTTGCAGAGCTGGTGCAAATATATCCACATCTCTACGATCAGATGCTTTCTTACCTGCTGTTTTCTCACCGCTGTCAGTTTTGTTGTGTTGTTATTGAGACTCTGAAGGGGAACGCGCCAAGCACATATTTAATAATTCTTCTAAACGTCGCTCTCAGCAGCTCGGGTGGCGTCTGGGTGTTCGTTAAAAGTATATCACTGCAAAAGGTATTTCCAACTTCTTTTTACTTTTAAGCAAAGAACAAAAATCAACTTTGCAGTTAGTAGGAACTTAGGAAGGATATCAGGGCCTAGAATCACTCGACTCGCGTTCATTCAGTTGTACGTTGCGTCAGTGTGCACGTGTGCCAGCACGCCACGAGCAATAAGTTCCTGGCTGCAGTTCACATAACGGCCACCGGTGTCGCTAATAACAATGTTTTTAATTTATTTTTTAATTTATTTTTTTAATTTACTGAGTTCCTCTAGTGCCCCCATACCTGCCAACTTTTGAGTTTTGCTCGGCGTGAGATTTGTTGACGGGGGGGGGGGGGGGTGGTAGAGACGAGTGAGATTTGTTGACGGGGGGTGGGGTCTCGCTCGCGCAAGGTCTCTCGCTCGCTCTACGCGGTTTGGAGCACAATCTCTGTCTCGCATGCACGCTCGCTCTAGATAACGGGAGATTTTTAACGAATTTGCGGTATAACTAGTCGATGACGAGTGGCTCAACAGGTAGATATATAGATAAACTCATCTTCCAGGCATTTGACCGCCCGGGTTGACACTTCAGCGTGAGAAATCGGGAGTGTGGCGTGTGAGCGTGTGAAACCAATCAAATGCGGGTGTCTCACGGCCAATGCGTGAGAGTTGGCAGCTATGTGCCCCCCTGGTTGAGAACTACTGTATCACGTGTCCAGAATGCTCTGTCACCACTAGATAGAACTATTTTGAATGTGTAGGCTATTACACTATATTCCACTCTTACATTCCAGTACCATTCTGATATAATGATGTATTATTGCACGTAGAAGAGGATGACAAATCACAGTGGTTTATGAAGTCATGAGTTTTAGCAGTCAGATAATGCTTTCCTCATTGTAAGCTCAGTGAACCCCAGAGCGCTCATCCTAGCAGCGGTGGAAAACGTGAGAGCCGTTTCTGAGTTGTCCTTGCCTGACAAAGTGCTTCATCTCCTGTGAGACTCCCTCAAGGGACCAGTTCAGCGTTCTGGGAAACTAATGGCTCGACAGCTGCAGTCATCCACAAACGTGATGAAAAGTCAGCTTCCTCTTCAAACTACACACTTTTCTAATGACCGCTGCGCACATGGGCACAACACAAGCCTACATTTGGGCGTCTACAATTTGGAAAATACTGTGTTTTAAATTGTGTGTGATCACTTTCTTATCACTTTGTATAAAGTGAAAAGATCAGCAAGTGCTGAGTTTGGGGGCCATGCGGTTTCCATGCAAAAGAGAAAAAATAAGCATCCTGAAAAGTTGGCATGATAGGAATTAAAACACAGTATTTTATGTAGGCTATTAAGAAACTTTACTGTGGACTTTGTGACATTTAAGCTAACTAGTACATTCCTCAAAGTATTCCTATTAAGTGGCACATTACAGTTTATGTGTAATACTGTATAGTGTAGTTCTCCAAACTGAATCACAGTATAACTATACAAATGAACAAATGATTTAACACATTAAATGAGATACACTTGGTCAACAGGCGTATACAAATGACTCCATCTGGTATAGGCTACATAAAAAGATTATTATGCATCAAGGGTGTTGATGTAGAAAATAATTGAGCGATTCCACAGGTTGAAAACATTGTCAAAATATGATTTTTAAATGTCTGCTGGGTGGTTAGAAAAATTGCAAGCGCTTTTTAAAAAAAGTGATTTTTTTGTGCTTCTGGTGCTCATGCAATTTTTTTCTTTAAAAGTTAGTTTTAAGCTACATACAGACAGCAAAATAATCAAACACAAAGTCATATGTTTGCTAGATAGAAAACATAATCACGCTATAAAGACAGATTTGAGTGCAATGACTTTGCTGTTTAACTACATGTACGTACCACATGCAGTTTTGTTCATTGCATAATGTCCATTGATGTAAGTTCAAAGGAAGTGCATGAGTACAGACAGTAAAAAGAAAGAGAGAGAGAGATGGAGGGGGATAAAAGACAGAGAGGTGCCAGATGTTTATGCTGTAGCTCCACATAGTCTGACCGCTGCTGAAATGTCTTTGGTGTCCTCTGATCGTGCCGAGACCACAAAAGGCCAGGTCTGTGGAAAAAGAATGAACAAGTCAGCCACACATTATTATTTGCATTACACATTACAGTAACAGTAAATAGTTTTATATACAACCCCAATTGAAAAGTTGTAATAAAATCAAGATTCTGTGATTTGTTCATTCTCTTTAACCTTTATTTAACGGACAAAACTACAAAGAAAAAAATCTCAATTTTTTTCACTGGCCAAATTAATTGTATTTTGTAAATATAAGCACATATTGGCTGCAACACACTCCAAACAAAATAAAAGTGAAAAGATTATATAGAATATAGAATATGTCTTTTGAAACAGTCCACAATAAGCAGTTGAATTGGTAACATGTGAGGGTATCATGATTGGGTATAAAAGGAGCATACGTTTACACGACAACGATATGCTTAAAACAGAAGTTTTTCCGCGTACAGACGGATAGTATTGCATTGTCAAAACGATTCCCATTCACAGGGATCTGTGAAAACGGCTAAAAACGCTGTATTCTGCTGCCAGGCCGATAGATGACAATGAAATATAGACTGAACACGTAATACGCATGCATGACGTCATTGTTTTCAGAAATTCGCATTTATGTTGTTTACACGGAGACCGTTTTCAAAAACTTGCACTTTGGAACCCGTTTTCAGAAGTTTTTGTTTTCAGGCACCCAAAATGCCATCGTCGTGTAAATTAACGGCCAAAATGGCATAAAAAGTTTTAGTTTTTAGTTGAAAACAGTGTCGTGTAATTGTAAACAGTCCCTCAGTCTTTGCAAACGAAGATGGGTCATGTCTCACCATTTTGTGCCTAATTTCAATTAAAAAATCGAATTTCTCAATGCAAGATTGTAAAGTATTTAGGTCTTTCACCAGCATCTACTATGGATAATACTGTGAAAATAAATCCAGAGAAATCTCAGTCCGTGTAGGGAAAGGCAGGAGACCTCTGTTGAATGTGTGTGACCTTTGAGCCCTCAGATGGCATTACATGAGAAGCCATCATGCTACTATGTCAAATATAGCCACATGTTCTCAGGAGTACTTTGAAAAACCATTATCACTGAACACAGTCTGCCGCTGCATCAAGAAATGCAACTTGAATCTCTGTTACGCAAGGAGAAAGCTATACATGTGTTCAATGCAGAGATGCTGCTGAGTTCTCTGGGCCCGAGCTCATCTCAGATGATCCAAAAGACATGGACCATCCAGTCTGTCATCAGCAACAGGTGCAAAAGCAGACATCTGTCATGGTATGGGGGTGCATCAGTGCAAACGGCATGGGTGACTTTCATATGTGTGCAGGTACAGTACCATTGACGTGGAGGCGTGCTGGGATTGTACAGAGACATATATTGTGCCATCGATGACATCTTTCCTGGGAAGCAACACAATGCAGGCCTCATTCAGGGTGTGCTACAGAGTGGTTTCTTAGACACAATACACCACACAGTGGATGTGCTTGACAGTCCAGATCTTTCTCTTATTGAAAATCTTTGGCCCATAATGAAAAGGAAAATCAGACAACGATGATCATGGACTGTTGAGCAGCTGTCTTGAATCAGGCGAGACTGGGCAAATATTCCATATGCAAAACTGCAACAATTAGTATCCTCAATTCCCAAATGATTAAAAAGTGTAATTAAAAGGGAAGGTGATGTGACACAGTTGTAAACATGTCTCTGTCACAACTTTTTTGGAGTGTGTTGCAGCCATCAAAATCAAAATGTTGTTTATATTTACAAAATACAATTAAGTTTGTCAGTGAAAACATTGGAAATCTTTTTTTGTTGGTTTTTTTTCGGTACTTTTATCAGTTAAATAAAGGTTAAAGACAATTAACAAAATCACAGTTGCTTGATTTTATTACATTTTACAAAATGTCCCAACTTTTGGGGAACTGTAGTAAATACACACACACACACATATATTTAATGCAACATATTTACTGTTACTGCAAGTATGCAAAATAAAAAGGTATTAATTATTTATATTTAGGCCTATGTATATTTGCAATATTTGTTTTAATATTTTTTATTATTATTGATATTTAATACAGAATAAAACACTTTATATATTAATTTGTTTTATATTATTTATAATAATTATTTATAAGTATTATTTATTTATATTTAATAATATTCTTATATTTAGATGCTATATTTATCTTTAATAGATAATTATAAACTTATATATATATATATATATATATATTAGTGCTGGGCAAGTTAACGCGTTATTATCGCGTTAACGCATTTATTAATTAATGCCGACAATTTTTTTATCGCGCGTTAACGCAGAGGTTTTTTTTATTATTATTTTGAAAGTCCGTTGCTCACTGCCTCTGAATACACATAGGCCTACAGTCAAACCATGATCACAGGAGGGGTGGGATGTTGGTCAGCCAGCAAATAACCCACCCAAACAAGCAGTGGAGAGGCTTTGGCAGGTTCTCTCAGGTGAACAGAAAGGGAGACAGCGCCCCGCGAGTGAATGACAGGCGCTCTATGGATAGTAACCATGGCACCGGCTTCTGTGCGCTACGCAGCGGTAGCCTTTTTAACTTAAATTAAAATTATACATAACTTTACCTGATAGGCCTGCGTTTAGTTTAGCGGGGATGCTCTGCAATGTGAATTCCCTTCTGTTGATGTCCTGATAACTATTTAGATTCTGGAAACTCACAAACAGCGAGCCGAGGATCAGTCTCTCTTCCAATGATTTGTGCTGCGCGTCGTGTACAAAAAAGTTAGACAATTCAACTTCGGCAACGCGCGGGCGCGTGCGTGAGGCAAGCATGACTGCAACAGTTTCACAGGAACGCACCCGCTTGTCGCTGCACCTGTGCTCGACCACTTCACCTCACTCTTTTCGGCTGATTTATAATTCTGTGTCGGACCTACGCCGGAGCCTCTACGCTATACAACGCGTTGGTTTTCATTTATATATCTGCGTCGTTGTCCGCGTTGACGCGCAATTACACATGAGGGAGAGTGTGAAACCCGGGGAGCGGTTCTAGCAATCACAGCGCTTGCGGTACGCGTAGAATTGACGTTACATTTTTGGAGAGATGCATGTCAGGGTACGCGCGCTACACAGCTACGGCGTGAGTTCGACGCAGAAGTATAAATTGGGCTTTACCTCTGTTTAATGTAATCTTACGTGGGAAATGGCATGCCATGACCAAACCTAAGCTGCTATCAGAGAAGTAACGTTGGTCGACTTATATCTGTAGTAGTGATCATGACCCTTTGACTACATAGACTGTTTCTGCTGCTCCCTGATACAAGATACCTGTTCAGAAAAAAAGAAAACTGGACTCGTTTTAACAAGCTAGATAAAAGGTAATGCCCTGGCAGTGGCAAATAGCTTTGTTTAAATATTTGATTTGATTACATTAATGTTTAAGTTGAGATTTACAAGAAATATTTTATTGATACTGTGTAAAGGGAATACTGCTGGTATAAAAGCACCTTATTTGTTTAAAGTTTTTGCAAACCACATGTTATTGCACTTTTGTAGCAGTACATTTAAATCAAAAGTGCGCAATACACTACTAGAATTCATTATTCAATTTTGCGCGTAACAATGCGATTAATCGCGATTAATCGCAAGAAAATCATGCGATTAATCGCGATTAAATTTTTTAATCGTTGCCCAGCACTAATATATATATATATATATATTATCATTATTTATATGATTTTTATTATTAATTTATATAATTATTAATTTTTATATTTTTGTAAATATTATATTATTATTCAATACAGAATTATAAAAAATAAATACTATATATATATATATATACACATATTAATATTTAATACAGTATACTGTATGTACTTTTAATCAATATCTAAAATATAAAGTTAATTATTAAGTAATGTACTTTAAATTATTATATTAATTATTAAATTATGATTACGTTATTTTTACGTATTTATTTATTTATTTATTTATTTATGTGTATGACTATTTTATGTGTATTTACACATTGTATTAGTGACATTTAATAATAAAAAATAAAATACTAAATACTTTAAAACCCAGTACTTTAGAAAATGACATACTATTATGGTACATTTCTAAAAACAAAAAACAAAAAAAAAAACATATATTGTTAGTGCATGGTATATGTTTTCTATATTTATATATTGTATTATAGATTCTGTATTATACATACAAGTAATAACAATAAAACTTCTCAACCAGATGGAAGTATATACAATCAGGTCATAAACTTAGACAACACTCACTCATACCAAGTTTACAGGATGCACAAAGCTGTTCTGGTATCTGTCCTCTTGTAAGAGCTGTCTGAGGTGAGATATATAGCTGGATGCCAGGCGCAGAGTGTCCAGCTTTGACAGTTTGGTGTCTGCCGGTACCCACGGCAGGCTGGTCTTCAGCCGAGAGAACGCTTTACTCAGAACTCTCATGCGTGCCCTCTCTCTGGCATTTGCTGCGTTTCTCTGAGACTGTCTGCCATCCTTTGCCATCTTCACTTGTTGCTTGTTGTTGCTGGTACCAGCTCGAGGTTGTTTGGTCTTTGCTTTCAAACTGTCATCGATACTTAACTCGTCTTCTGAGTCTTCCAAGGAACGAGTGTCCATGTGAGTGATTGACAGCTCCTGGAGGTCTTCAGGATCACTCACCGAACCTGTGGACATCACGACTGCACCTGCTTCAGAGCAAAAAACTTGATTTTGAAAAAAAAAACTGCACTCCTGCGTTTCAATATGTGATATTCAGCGTCCTTGCTGTAGATTTAAAGCAACAGGTGCTGCCTTGATTTCGAATCTCTGTAGAAGAAGCCCAGGGAAAAGGCACATCAAAACAAGGCCATCATTTAATCACCATTCAAGGTCATTCAGCATTTCCTGAATGTAAAAGGTTATTAAAATTGTCATGTAGACAAAGCAGACTGTATCATCTGCCCCTTCTCGCTGAGCATCTCAGAGCTTGTCCTGCCGTGTACCAAGCACATTTAAGGTTTGGGGTTTGGCCGGGTCATTATGGATCAAGCATTTCTCCTCCCCTTTTCCCCATCTAACTTTTGGCAAGACTGTTTGACAAAGTGGCACTGATAGCATATATATACAAATATATATATATATATTTGATAAATTCATTAGCTAAATATATATATATTTTTTATAAATCAAGAATTCAATATTAAATAAATATTGAACATATTATTACTTCTGAATATATTCAATATTTATTTAATATTTAATTCTTGTTTTATTTATTTAAAAATCAATAATACTATTGTTCAATAATAAATAATTGAACACATTTTGATTACAAAGATACATGCACATCAAATATTATCTATTATTATTTAATTATTATTATTTATATTATTTAATATTTAATACATATTACATATATATATACTGTATACATAGCCTATTTATTTTGTTATATATTAATATGCATAATTAAATTTATTTAATAAATAATAATAATAAAGCCAATAAACAATACATTCATTTTGATATTTATTATTATTATTATTATTATTATTAAATTAATTAAGTAAAAAATATTCAATACATTACCTTTAGTCATGGAAATATATTTATATATTATTTAAATCATTTTTTAATATGTACTTATTTAATACATTTGCTGACTCGGTCTAGATAGTTAGGATGTTTCTTTATTAAATAAAGAATAATAAATATTGAATCCAATTAACTAAAAAAGGCTCCAAAACAACCTGCACCAGTGTAACCAAAACCAACCTTGATACTTCAAATAAATAATTCAGTAAAAATATTGTGAAAAACTTTAGTTTCTTATTTCTTCAGTTCAGTGGTCACCCACGGTCCACTTAAATGCTTTTTCCCACATGCTCTAAAGCAAATAGAAATGTCTGAAAGGCTTATCAAACGTTCTTAATCCACTGGCCATTTCACAGAGATATTGGGTTTCTGCTTGGTTAGAGCGCTCTCACACACGCTCTGTGCACATTGGCCACAGCTGTCAGCACTTTACATTACATCTGCAGGATGGGGGGGCAATCACTGGGACCCAGAGGAAAAATACCCATGTTGACATTCTTCACACTGTGCTCTCATTTGTCTCTCCTATCATATAGAAACATGTGAGGTGCGTGGCAGAGGATACTGTAGAACCACACATGCCTGGCAAAATGATTTTTATATAATTTTTTTCTTGGCAGATGTCAGTTCAGCTGTTAGAGGAAACTTTGTATGACTGCTTCTTCAGTAAACTGTTCTGTATGCCCTGTTCATACTTTTAGAATTGGCAGTTAAATGACACATCAAAGGACGGCATAGCTATTTTGTCATCTGGATGTTTATAATTAATTAATCAATTTTCATCATTATACGGCATCTATAATTTAGGACTTTTAATTTGGCCATTTTGAACAACATCAGCCCATAAAAAAGTGATAACGTCCTTAGCCACAACACATTATCTGTATAAAATTACACAATACGTCAAAAATGTGCTATATCTCTGCATCTTTTATATGAACAAAAAATGAAGAGCGAAAATTCCTAAACCATAAAACTAAATTTCCCACAGCTGAAATGTTCTCAGCATCTCACAATATCTCTCAGTAAACTCGATATGTATGAGTTTTCATTCCAGCCTAATGAGTGTGAAATTAAGATTTTATATTACAGTGGTCACCCTCAGCCAACAATTATCCAAAAGCATAGCTGACTTGTAAGCTCCATTTTTGCAAAGGGTTGTTGCCAAGTAGACATGTGGGAATAACACACATTCTCATCCTTTGGCGTCATATAGGTGACGCCATATGACATTTCGTCGAAATCTTACGCACATGGCATCCTTTAGCGTCGATATAACACGCACTGTTATGGGTAGGTTTAGGTCTGGGGTAGGGTTACGGTTATGACGCCTTGGGATCTGCGTCTCATATTCACGCTAAAAGGATGCCATGTGCGTGGGATTTAGACGAGCGTCACCTGTTTGACGCCTTGGGTTCTGCGTCTCATATTGACGCTAAAGGATGCCATGTGCGTAAGATTTCGACGAAATGTCAAAAGCGTCACATGTATGACGCCTTGGGATGAGAACAAGCTGGAATAACCTACAATAAACAGTTTATTCTTCTTGCTCTGTGGAATTTTAAGTATTCATTCTTACTGTAAGAACCTGTTCACATAGAACGCCTTTTGTTCATTTTCAATCGTTTTTCTAAATGCTTGCTTTTAGACGGACGCCTTTAACCTTTGTGTTGCGTCCCAATGCTTTTTTAGCATCTTGCTCATCATGAATACTGTGTTTTTAAGACGGTCGAGTTAAAAGAAGTTATTTATTATTTTCCATTTGTCCGCACCTCGTCTCACATTTGTTCCACCATCTGGCCAAACGATTCCAGTTGAATTTCCACTTGAACATGGTTCAACAAACCGTTCCAGCTAATTACTTCCCCATGTTCAACCGTGCTGGTGAAACCACTGTAGTGACATGATGCTTTTCTAGTGTTGTAAGCCATATAGACTTCAAGCAAAATCGAAGAATGAACATGTGTGACGTAATTTTGGACAAAATAAGGCAAAAACTATATAGGTTTGTGTGGTGAGCAGGATGGCCGAGGGACGTGAGAGAACGTCGCGAGGCCGGTGGTGCGATTGCTAATGAGCAGCACCTGTGAAGCACACCGGTCTCGCATCTCTCACGGAGGAGCGGAAGCATAAAGGGGGAGCGACGGAGTGGATGATCGAGAGAGGAACAGGCCTGCTTTTGTTTGTATTTTGTGATATTTTATTTTGGTAGCCAGCAGTCGTCCGTGAGGGGCTGCTGGCAGGTATTTATAGTTTATTTTCGGTAGCCAGCAGTTCCGTGAGGGACTGCTGGCAGGTATTTTGTTTGTTTATTTCATTTAAATAAAGTTTTATTTGATTGTTCTCCGGTTCCCGCCTCCTTCTTCCCTGAACCTTGCTACACTGGTGCCGAAACCCGGGAGGAGGGAGGAACGCGCTGTCAGAGAGTCCTCGCCGCTGTGGGGAATCCGCGGTGCCATCGAGCATGGTGCGCGAGTCGCGGACTCGCGGCCATGGGCGCTCGAGGCGGTGTGCTGGAGTGAGTTGCCGGGGGGACGGTCGAGCTCGCTGCCGGCCGCCTGGGAGTTGGAGGGGCGGCTGCCGTCCGGGAGGGAGCGGGGGAGTCGCCGCCGCTTGCCGTGGGCCGGAGCCTGCTGCCGTCCACCAGAAAAGGGGAGGAGCAGGGAGCGGGGGACTCCTACCGTCTGCCCTAGAGCCCAAGGAGTCGTCGCCGTCCACCGGAGGAGCGTCGAGCCGTCCACCGAGGGCTACCCAGCGTCATCGCCAGGCACCGCGGAGGAGATCGCCCAGCTGGTGGGGGACCAGTTGACAGCGCGTTGGGGGAACCGGACCAAGTTTTTTTTTTTTCTCTCTCTCTCCCCTCTCTCGATCTGTCGCTCCTCATGCTTCCGTCTCCGTTTCCCTCGGCTCGTCGATCCATACCCCCAGGGAGGGGGGGGGGGGGGAGTAGGCACAGTCTCGGGTGTACCCCCCGGCCTGTGAGGGGTGATGGGGGTATGTGGTGAGCAGGATGGCCGAGGGACGTGAGAGAACGTCGCGAGGCCGGTGGTGCGATTGCTAATGAGCAGCACCTGTGAAGCACACCGGTCTCGCATCTCTCACGGAGGAGCGGAAGCATAAAGGGGGAGCGACGGAGTGGATGATCGAGAGAGGAACAGGCCTGCTTTTGTTTGTATTTTGTGATATTTTATTTTGGTAGCCAGCAGTCGTCCGTGAGGGGCTGCTGGCAGGTATTTATAGTTTATTTTCGGTAGCCAGCAGTTCCGTGAGGGACTGCTGGCAGGTATTTTGTTTGTTTATTTCATTTAAATAACGTTTTATTTGATTGTTCTCCGGTTCCCACCTCCTTCTTCCCTGAACCTTGCTACAGTTTGTTTGAAGTTCATTTGGACTTTGTTGTTAGTGGGCGTTCCCATTAAGGGCCTTTCACACTGAGGGTACATTTACACGACAACGATATGCTTAAAACAGAGAAGTTTTTCCTTTGAGCTTTCACAGTCATTGTCAAAACGATTCACACTGATACGCGAAAACGGCTAAAAACGCTGTATTATGCTGCCAGGCCGTTAGATGGTGATGAAACACTATAGACTGAACACGTAATACGCATGTGCATGACATCATCGTCTGCAGAGATTCGCGTTTTTGTTGTTTACACGGAGACCGTTTTCAAAAACTTGCACTTTGAAACTTGTTTTCAAAAGTTTGCGTTTTCAGGCACCCAAAACGCCGTTGTCACGTAAATGAACGGTCAAAACGCATTAAAAGTTTTATGTTTTTAGTTTAAAAACGGTGTCGTGTAAACAGCCCCTGAGTGTGATTAAATGATGCGATAATGCTCTTGAATCGAAACAATAGATCCACATGGAGCCATTCACATCGGCTGCGATCAATCTCAAGATTTTTGCACGACAAAGCAAGATTTTTTTTTTTCAGACCAAGTGTGTTTGTTTTTTTCAGTGCCCTGCGATGAAATGGGCCGTCCAATTAGATTTGAGCTTTAGATCACGTACCCGGAGCCGCTGCTGTTGCACAAAAGGGGCGAGCTTGGTGGCGCTGTTTTGAAAACCAGTGTAAACACTGAATAAAGTAATTCTGGAAGAGAGAAGAGAATGGATGTTGATTTCTTGTTCCTGTCTGAGAA